TCAAGAAGTCGCGACGCCCCGCCTACGTTGTGGACGAGTTAAGAGTGGCAATATCGCTGGATGATGTACGAGAAGTAACTACAAAGGTCAAGGATCTCATGTCCATGGATTGTGATGATCCATATGCAGCACTTGGTGAGATCTACATTCTAGACTAGCTAGAGCCTAGACCTGGGCTATCTTCCATACTTTTGGCAATTTTGGGATGTGATATTTGGGCTAGTGTAATGGAACTCCTATTCCTGACGAGATGGATTGTCTGCACAAGTCATCCCGTCAAACTATCGTGCGCGATGAGTCGTATACCGCAGAGTGAGCTTTCAAAAAAGGAAGAGCACGCGATGATTCACACCACTCCATCAGGATGCTCGAGATGAAACACCCGTCTACGGGTGTCGAACCGGACTCGTTAGGTCATCGGATGACCGACCGAAAAAAGGCGCTGGCTTGGGCGGAACTTTGCTGTAGGAAAAGGAACTAATACGACCTCGAATGCTGTTTTTGTCTGCATCAATGCGAATAGTTCTTGTCTAAACTTGCCCCTTTTCGTCGGTCGATTGCCAGATGAACTGCCGAGTCAGGTTCGTCTCTATTATTAAGTTCATAGCATCATTACAATTCCCGTCCGGGCCAATAAGTCCATTACGTCCCCGTGGACTGCCAATTAGTACTGAAGTTTTCTGGGAGTTCAAAATGACTGTCTTCCGTCTATCGGATGATCCCGCAATTGGCTATGTATGCCGAATCGCATTCAATACGGCCGCGATTTTGTATGGAAGCAGAACGCGTGGCGCTCCCCAGAAAAAAGGCGGTCAACGCGAAATGCTTCATATTTGTCATCTTCACATGGTAGTTGGAAAACAGACAGGAACTGGAAAATCAGCATCAGTACAGGGTGACAAAAAAACTTCAAGATATGAAGAAGACCTTACTCATTAAAGCCGGGAAGAATCGCAGTATCGGCTCATTTACTTTTGATCTCTCACGACCCAAAAAACGAGTGCAGTTGAAAACTAGTAGAGTGGGATTATTTTCTGACTAAATTGATTTATTATTTTTTAAGGAGTAACTTTATCGAATCTGATGAACGGCAAAGTGGACGATGCGTCGGCTCAGCTAACTTTTATGAAGGAAGCAAATCCGAACATCTCTAACTAACCCAGTAGGTTATTTCGCCCCGATCAGAAGGATGCACTTTTGAGAAAGCCTAATTTTTGTAGATTAAGCCGCGTCGGTTAATCACGTTAAAACAAGTGCAGTGCCCTTGCGTACATCTGAAGACAACCGTGAGTTGCCCACAGGGGTAATTAGAGATGCTGACGAAACCGACATTCATTTTAAGCAGTGGCGCCATATGGTGCTAGATGGCGTCACCACTGAAAATAAAGTTATCCTTGTAATCGGGACATCGAATTACCTCTAAAGGCTAAGTTGCTCCAGTTTCGAAGTGTACGAATTGCACTTTTATCATAAAATTACAACGCGGAAGTCTCTGGTGCGATCATAATCCTAGTCGTACGTCGTGTGGGCAACAAGCTTACGGGGTCGGTTATTTTGGTACCAACTCGACCCCGCCCCCGGCGCCCTGAAGGTAAAGAAACAGCTGACATGTGCTGGCCGCCCGCGCATGTTATGTGATAGCTCACATCTGCGTACAACACATTACGAATGTACAAATGGAAGTAGAATGTGTGCCGCATCCCAAGACGGAATTGGTCAACGACAAAAGCTTTTTTGCTTCACAAATTACACTGCACGGCAGAGGTGTTTTTGCATGATATCGGGCTTATCTATCGGAATTAGGGTAGTTAGAAGCTATTCTGCCTTTGGATGTCCTATTCCCTCGCTAATCCCATAAGTTTGCATTTTTCGAGGTTTATGAAGTCGCTTCTATTTACCATTACGTTCCATGTTTCTTTCTTTCATCACTTTTGTATGCTTTTCAGATCTACCATTTCGCTGAGGCAGTGATAGCAAAAAACAAAAAGAACTCGTTTGAGCAATTCATGCAGATGATCAATGACGCCATAATTGTGCACTTCGACAAAATACAGGTATCTTTGCTTGTTTGTTGATTTTCCTCAACATTGTGAGCAGTAAGAACTCCTCTTGATCGACGATATACCGCCAGTGCGAGTGGCACGATGCACCAAACGAATGTCGACGATTGGTGGGAGGTGGGGGGGGGGAGGGAACATATGTGAACTGCTGCGGTTTCATCGAGGGGTACTGTGACGGATCGTGTTTTCGAAATGTTACTACTATCCACTGATGAGCTGCAACTTTTAAGCTTTTTTTCAAAGAATTTGAAGCTTTACTGGTTTTGCTGCATATAGCTGTATACGTGTACCTTCCTAGGTTAAGGGGGACAGAAATTTCAGGGGGAGGGAGTGAAAGAAGGATATAAGGAGGGCGATCACGAGGAGACGAGAAAAAGGTGACAAATTTCATGTATGCGAAAGTAGCTTTGCAAATCACTGCAGATCAAAATCATTCACATGCCACCGGACTGAATGGAAGTCCTATGCACAACTCACTCCCAGGAACGAACTAGTCATCATTGACTGTCATACCATGATTTTTTGCTGCACCGCTGCACCACCTTCCCACTGCACCACCTGAACCTATTTAGTGGCTCTATGGGTATAATTCTATTAATTTTGCCTAGGGAATTCCATTCGGCGTGGATTACCTTCGAGCCCTGGACGCTGACTTCTTGATGGGAATTGTTTATCAACTGATGGATTATGCTCCTCTTGTGGTAAGTTCTTTCACATTTCATGTGCAGCAAAAGCTTTTTCTCGCTAAAGGGTTCAAAAATTATGCTCTACCCGAATTCATTGGAAAGGACAATTTAACACGTTGACGACGCGCGTTCTGGCTTTTCTTGGCAGCGTGGGAACAGCACGATTTGCGAGCGCGATCGCCTCACCTCACATCCATTGGTTTGAACTGTAATTACACAAAACTGGTAAAGCTGAAGGTTAACAGCTTTTGGGCCGGATGATTACATCCGTCACGTTGGGATGCGGCACGCATTTTACTTCCAATTGTACATTCGTAGTGGCATTTGAATGCGATGTGGCCTATACAATGACTTCGGGGGTCAGCCGATGTTCAAGTCAGTGTATTTATCCTCCCAGACAAGTCTGGTACCAATTGACACCCAAAAGGATGGAACGACTTGGTTGGCCGCACGCCGCAGCACGACCGGGATTCGATACTTCGGACTCACGCGCGTCGCGTAAGCGTCAGTTGCGCACTACACCACCTCCGCCGCCAAAACCTAGATGGTACCGAATAATTCAGCATTGTGGTTAGATCATCACGAAGTAAACTGGTAGAGTTTCGACCAAAAGGTTATGGTGTACGATGGAAACAAGATTTACCTATTGTGCGAGAAATATGTTTGGTCGTGTTTTTTTTTTGTTGAAAAGCATATACTTGCCCCATCCGAATAGATTCGTTATTTACTTCTATTTTTCGCTCTACTCCATCTTCATTTGTTTTCAGCCGTTGAAAGCTCCTGATGAAACGCTAAAGGCGACAGAACGGATTCTGAAGATCATCATTGAGAATAGCCCAGGTAATCAGCTCCAACTGTGAATTTATTTGCTGGTCCTCCAACAATCTTCTTCTTTTTCCATTAGTCCATATTTTCAGGAGCCAAGTCCAGAGCCTATTTTATCCTGGCGGCGTTGCGCTATTTCTGCATTCGGAATGGGATGCAGCAGATCGGATGATTGAAGAATGTCTACAGAAAAACGAGACTAATGCCGATGCATATTTGCTCAGAGCCGAGGTACGCCCATTCAAATATTTGGCAGCGTATGTCACTGGCGATGTTCTGGGTAGGCTGCGCATCTCAACAGTAGTGGACTGGCCGATCGCACAAGACGCTGCTTGAGGTACGAAACGAAAACGGGACGGTTCTGAAGACTACATGTTTGTTGCCAAGTACATAGTAGGGGTGGTGCGCCTAAAAATATCATACCGGTACCAAAAGCAAGGGTCACACCGCAAGGGTGGTCATCTGAAAGGAAGATAAAAGAAGGAAGAAGAATAAATGATAAAATTAATTTCCTATTACAGATTAAACTGATGAAAGGGCAAGTTACTGACGCGGACAGCTGCCTGAACACTGGACTCAGTTTCAATTTCTCTGTACGGGACAGCTCAATTTTCCATCTCATCAAGGCTAAAGTACACAAGGTGACTCATTATTAGTACTTATTCGTAAATTAAGAAAGGAAGGGAAGCAAAGCTGAGAACAATCGCTCAGAATTTCGTGGTCCACATCTTTTAGGCAGAATCGCTCGTGCTGCTGAAAAGGCGTTGTCGTATTGGCGAATAAGGCCACTATTGTCGCTGACTTTCAAACCTCCTTTGCAGGATAAAGGATAAAAGGATAAAGCATTTGCCGTTGATCAATCCCTTTTTGGGATGCGGCACGCATTCTACTTCCATTTGTACATTCGTAGTGGCGTTTGAATGCGATGTGGCCTATACAATGAGGGCCAGCCGATGTACAAGTCAGTGTTTTTATCCTCCCAGACAAGTCTGGTACCAATTAACCGACCCCGGAGGGATGGAAGGCTTGGTTGGCCCGGGCGACTCACGACCCAGGATTTGATCCCGGACCGCTCGCGTGGTAAGCGTGCCACTTGCCACTACACCACTTCCGCCCTTTTGCAGGTCTATAGGAAAGTTAATGATCCTTGGAATTACGATGAGAAAAGGAAGTCTGCAGCGGACCTACTAGATTAGGAATCGCAGAAATTCGATTGCGGACATACCCATGTAAACTTGCGGGAGGATCCTTCTGAGCCATGGGCTGCAGGACTGTGGACACCATACGTTGCCGATACGCCTACTCGTCTGTGATTGACTGCACGTGCAAGCCTGCCAATCACGGACGAATGGACATGTCGGCGGCAGATGGCGTCGACACTGCAGCACGAAAGTCGAAGGCCGGTGTCGGATTTGCGATCCCTATTCGCTAACAGCGACTTTCGCGGAGTTGCTAGTAGTAGTGAATCCATTAAATTGGTCGCTGGATTTGCAAGTCTGACAGGCCGAAAGATCCTCCTGCTAGTTTATCTGACCAGAAAGGATGGTCGGTCAAATGGCCACATGCAGTGAGATCTACACTGTTGATGTGTTTTTCTGACGCTGATCTCGAATCTGCTTTCCAAATCTGCCAATCGATTTTCTGAACGGAGTTATGAAGCAAAATAGAGCAGCGGTAGTGGTCCGGGTTCACGGGCGAGAGGTCGTAGGATCGATTCCCTGACGGGTGATTTGGCTACAAATTTGCCCCTAGGGTATTTTATCTGCGGAACATGAATATCACACCTGTCTGCTGCAAAAACGTATTTCAAGAAGTTCTGCAG